AGCTGGAGGCAGGAAGGTCACTTGGGGGGAAGGAAGCAGCACGTGGTCCAGCTCCAGCCTCTGCTTACAAAGAAATCAGCAAAAGCCCAAGTGCTGCCAGCACCTCACAGGCCTCCAGCCCCATTGCTGCAGGAGCTGAAACACACCCGATGCCCATGTCCTGTGGGTCAGCACTGAGAGCTCTCTGAAGCAGGACTGTGCCAAGTGAGAGCCCATGAGCAAGACATTCACACCAGCTTGAAAGAGCAGTTTATTTTAACAAGGAAGAAGCAGCGCTGACTGCCACACAGAAAGGGAGTGGCACAGCACGTTCAGTCCCAACACCACAAGCCACAGTCAAGTCTCTCATGCCTGGTTATAACCATCTCTGTCTAATGATGGTCCTTCCTCCATTGCCAGAGGTTTTGAGTAGCTCAACTTGCGGGTGCTGAGCCTGTGACTGTCACCTGTCTGTCTCCACTGTGTACAAGTCAAGAGTCACATCAAGGTCACATCAAGCCTGCACTTGCAAGCAAACCTGAGAAAAAAAGGGCAGTCACTGCACATCCATCTTTTCCTGCTTGAGTGATGCAACAAAATCCTTGTATTCCTCGGGATAGAAATTCTTGTACACATTGATCTTTCTCTTAATCTGCTTTGGGGTATCCTGGTAGTAGTTCTTCTCATCTCGAGCCATTTCCTGTGACAGGACAGGGTAAGTCAGAGGAGTGGCCCGGAGAGTAAACACGAAATCGGCCCAGACACATTGGAAAGTCCCACCCAGGCTGGCTGTGATCACTGCCTGACTCAGACAGGGATCTGGCCAAGGTTGGAAGCAGTTTCACCTTAATCAGCTGACTGCATAACAGGATCCAGGACAGAGAGGATTAGTGATTTCCATACTGCAGAAGAGCCAGGAGTGAATCACTCCAGGTGCTCCTTGCTCTGGGACAACCGATACTCACCTTGTAGTTCTCCCCGTGGTTCTGTATCATGTACTGCACATAGTCAATGAGGTCTCGTGAGAGTGTGTTTGATTTCTTCTCAGGGAGACTGGCCTCATATTCCATCTCTAGGCAGAGGACAGAGACATCATGAGGTGTAGGTAGGGGAGGGAAGGAGGCAGCACCTCAGAAGCCCCCAGTGTCCTCCCAAGGTCAAGCCCTGCCAGTACTGCAGAAAGGAGGTGGCTCTTGCAGCACAGCTCGGCTGCTTCCCAGCATGATTGTGCAGGAAAACGAACAAAACAACAGCCCTCCATGCAGGCTGCAGGTATCCAGGCCTGTGCTGTGGCTTCTCTCCAGGTCCCACAGCGAGAAGTGGAGCCTTTCTGCCCAGGCCGCAGAGCGTGACTGTTCAGAGCTGCCCAGCTCACCGCTAAAACACGCAGAGTACTGCAGCCACAGTTTCTTGTCACCTGGTGCCTCACACCAACACACTTCAGAGTGACAAGAGCCCTCTTGGGGTTGCAGGTAGAAATACTGTGAAAATGGCAGCATGGGAGGGAAAAGGAAAGTCATGAGCCAGAGGACACACAGGAACGGCAGAGCTCTGTCCAGGCTGGGAGCTCCCCCAGCTGACTGCTGCCAGGGGCTACTCCTCTACATGGCCACAAGCCTGGACAAGTAGCAGCATCCTTCCCTGCCCCTGGCCCAGCACAGCAGCTAAGGACAGTCTGGCAGCACAGAGATGAGAGATAAAATAACCCACAGGGCCCTGGGAGACCACCAAAGGCAATGGCAGCAGTGCAGTTCA